GTTGGTTGAGATGTAAACTTCAATTGTGTAATGGTTGGTTCAGATGTAGACGTGGATTCTGTAGTAGTTGGTTCAGATGTAGTGGTGGATTTCGTGGTGGTTGGTTTAAGTGTTGTGGTTGATTTTGTAGTCGTTATTTCAGATGTAGAAGTGGATTCTGTTGTTGTCGATTTTGATGTTGATGTGGGTTGGGTTGTGATTGTTTCAGATGTGGTGGATCGAGGAAGGTATTGAGGCCAAGGGTTGCAGTTGAAGCCTTGGCAAACGTTCGGTCGTGGGATGAAAAGGTTTCCTGGATTCCAGAAAGAGTATTGTGGATGTCTCTTGATGCGTTTTAATGAGAGTTCTTTTTTTTCAATATGAATACGTTGACTCTGTTTTTGTGATCCAGTAAGTGATGGTATCATGCGGTCCTGAACTTTCGGTTTTAATTGTTTTTTATTTTGGATCATTCGTTTCTTTTAAGGAAGATGTGGTTCTTTTATGCGTTGTTATTTTTCTTAATAATGTTCTATTTATCTGTTCTCTCATTTATGTGATATTCAATGTATTATATCAAAATTTCATTGTTTTATCGAATAACTAAGGTACACCATTTTGGTTGAGTGCTTTTGGGAATATAATTTTCGTTTTAAATTTCTGCGATGTGCATAAAAATTCCTTCATCAATGATATCTGAAGAAGTAAGTAATGAAATTGCATACGTTTCGATTGTTGTTTTTACTTTGGAACGTCGGTATGTTCGCATCTATAAATACGAGTCGTTTAGTTTATATGCATATGATTTCGGTGATAGTGTGCAGTATCTCTCTTCACGGAACNCTTCTTCGGTCATTCGTATATTCACTTTCGTAGGTTTCTGATTTTAGTGCATATCAAATTTACGATTATATGACTTGATTCGGGAATGTTTATCGATAACGCTGTTCGCTTGGAGTGATCATCTATAATGGGTTTTGCTCTACCATTTCAATAAAGTTTAACATTCACCACATTTGCTACCCTACCTAATCTTGTTCTAATTTGTTCTCGTATAAATTAGTCGTTTATTGAAGCCGTCATGCCGGCGTTTTTGTTAGCGAAGTTGATGGAAAAGGTAAACTATATTTGACCTTGCGAATTGGATAGAAATTGCCAGGATGGAAATGAAAATGCTTGCAAGCTGATGGCAAGTAGGAGAGCAGTTGCAGTGAGCAGGTTCATTTGTCTGCCTGAAATTTGATTCAACATTGGTCATAAGCGTTCCATAATTCGAGGTCTAAATTGAATGCACATCTTAGATATAGAGTAAATAGGTGAGTTTCTTGTTTCTTTCTTGGAACGTCAACAGGGGTCGCTCAAACGCTTCAACCAGATTTTGCTCAGAAGGTAAATGAGTCTTGTTTTCATTTACCTCGTTCCTCAGAATTGCATTAATAATCTCTTTGTCCCGATTGCGAATCTTTAACTGATCAACTCCGTCACTGTTTTGAATCGTGTGTGTAATCGAATATAATGTTTTAGCTGAAACTGAAACAATGACCACATTTATACACAAGCATAATGAATGGTGTCTAGAAAGAGCATGTATACCAAGCACGTCGAGTGTTTTTGAATGTTCACGAATGGAGAAGATTGATCTCTTTCAACGACAACAAGCTATAATGTACCTTTCTAGGTAATGAAACGAAGAGAAGGAACCAAAGTTAGCAAAATTCAGCAAATTACTTGTCTTGTGATGGAACCACCAGCTACCTCTAATTTGTGTTCATTAAAATAATTTTTGAGCATGGCTGAATTGTAATTTATAGGATTGGAAGATGTTCGTTAGCGATGATCCCAATAAGTGTGCTGTTGTTTTGTCTTGGTACTTCGAATACTTTTTTGATTATTTTTAATTATTTTGTCTAAAATATGAATTGATTATTTTGTCTAAAATATGACATGTTTCGATGGAAAAGGGGCATTTCCAAAAGGCAGATTGATTATTCTGTCAAAAATATGACATGTTTCGATTGAAAGTGGACATTTTCATATGAGAAATTGATTATTTTGTCTTGACGTTTCGAGTGAAAATCGACATTTTTATATGAGAAATTGATTATCTTTTCTAAAAATTCTCGTATATCCCGTTCATGATCAAGGTCCATTGAGGTATTCCAAACATTTGGGCGGCTAGAATGCTAAAAGCTAAGAATATTCTGCATGCTTAAGGAACTTGCAAACTTCTATGGCACTGGTGATGCTGATTGGCATAATCGGTTGATATCCGTCAAAACATTCCATAAATCAGTCAATAAAACATTTTCAATCGCAAATTTCTGGTGCCGAACGAATCAACATGAATGTATGATTAATTGTGACGCTGTCAACGTGGAATAATATAAACAGTATAGGCATTTCACGAATTCCCGATAGAAATGAATGAATCATATGACGGTTATCTTTTTGCATTGATCGAATTGTTTTGGTAATTCAGAACCAATTCCATTTGAAATTGTTTACTTAATTCGACGAAGGTGGATGATTTTCCTTTTCTGCTTGCTTGCACGGTCTGCATCAAAAATGTTTCTTTATTCAATCACCTTAATTCGATGGTTTCGATACAACGGAGTACCACTTGCAAAATATCACTTGCGAGATATTTTGTATATATAGTCGATAAGGTGTTCACTGCTTTTCTATTAGAAACAATATGTTTAACGGAGCGTTTGCATTATCATTGAAAAGAACAATTGGAAATCAGTGGCATAAAATATCGTTTGACGAAAAGATTGTATCGAATTTCTGACAGATCCCGTTCGTAATATACACAAATTGTGATCAACTATGAAATATAATAATAATAACAATAATAATAATAACAATAATAATAATAACAATAATAATAACAATAATAATAACAACAATAATAACAATAATAATAATAAATAATAATATAATAATGATAATAATAATAATTAATAATAATAATAATAGCAATAATAATAATAACAATAATAATAATAATAACAATAATGGTAATCAATGCAAAGATTTCGAAATTAGGATTGGAAAAAAATTAAAGTCCAAATTGATAACATAACGTTTCAATGAATTATGATGGTATATTGGAATTTACGATTCAGTTTTTCTAAAACTACCGAATTGGATGTAAACATAAGAAAGGAACAATGAGAAGAACAATATTCAGTAAAGTTGTCGAAATGATTTTACAACTTCAACCACTCTCAGATAACTGATTTCTTTCAAATTGTTCAATCGCCTTGAAAATACCGCTGTACCGTCGGGTTCCTTCGATGGTTTTGTTGAACGCATCAGCCTGCGTCCACGCCATTTTGACTGTAACCATTCGCAAACCCCACAAATTAAATATACTATTGCCTGCAAAAATATTTTCCCATAATAATTACTCTTTGTCGAATCCGGTATCCCGAAAGAAAACTGTTCAATTTTTAGTGTTTTTAGTCGCTGGTTGGGTGGAATAAAGAAGAAAGAAAAAAGAAGAAACTGAAAAATAAGAGGTTTTCATTCAGTGAATTGTTGAACTGTCATGAGCTTATCATTGATCTGATGAACACTGCAACATGATTTTGATATAGCTTGAATGAAAAGTTTATCAAACCTGAACTATGGTGACAATACTGATGCCGGCCCACAGACTTAACGCACCACCACTTGCGTTCATCGCATCCGTTATCGTTAACGCTTCATACTCTTCAGAAATCTTCAACGTTTCCAAGTTAATCTTTTGGCTCATTAAACTGGAAATGCCGCTAACAATTTGTTGCCGAAGTGAGAAGCGTTAGTTGAGATTGACTTAGAGCTTTGGATGCATTTTCAAAAAGGCCGAACGGTTTGAATGCAATGAGTAAAATGAGAAATTTTGAATTTGGTGACGAACCTGGACAGTTCTAAAGTAAAATAAGAGGAAACATAGGTGTACAGATGAGCATAAAGATGCGTTGATTCACGAAAAGAAATCTAACCGAAGTAGTGAGGCTTTCAAAATATATATCCACCAAGAGAAAATTACGAGCAATCGTTGAAAATGAATCCCGAGAAGTGGCGTGGAATATTCGTGCGAATTCCTTTGACTTCATCTGCTCTTTGAAAGCAACTTTGTAACCATTTGAAAATACTTCTCATTCCTCTTTTGCTTCTTCGTCATCAACTCATTTTGCTGTTCGTATTTCAGCATCTTATTCAATTTTCGAAGCTACGCAACCATTATTATGATGCGTTTTATTCTGATCAGGAATTGAATCTTTGAGAGTTTTTTAATTTGAGTCTCTTTGTGACTTCAGTTGTTCAGTTTCATTTAATTTATGAAGTACGTTCAAAATTTTGAGTAGTTACAGTGAAAAAAACCACCTGTGTGACTGATGGGAATTTGTTCATTGTCATTGTTGCCGTCACTTCTTTGAAATTGCATGGGTTTTTGCAAAGTCGAGCGCAGATATTAGTGGCGACATTCTTCCACAAAAACGCAGCCCTTGTCCTGCAGCAAAATGTTCGTACGTTGAGGAACGACTGAGTTCTTTTTTTTTTAAATGGTGAACGTGAAAAACAAATCCAATAAGAAATATTCGTTATGAATGAGATTCAGTGAAGAATGACTTCAGATAGAGGATACTACACAAGTATCGCTAGATGAAACGACGCGGCGAATTGTTCATTCGAATTCCTAAACTTACGGAATGCACTCAGACAGTTCATCAGCTTCACACATCGGCAGTTTACCGGTCATAAACGGTAAACATCCACAACTCTTGACAGTTGGTGTTACGGCACATTCATAAATGCATAAGTCCTTTGAGAATGACTCAGTCAAATACTGCAGTGAAAAGTTGACGAGACATGGTGGCTGAAAGCGGAACGCAACGTTTGGATAATGCGTTATGCTCGAATCAATTTGATCACAAATGCTTTCATTCACTACTTCTTAAACCGACCTCCATATAGTTGATTTTGAAGTCATCCCGAAGAATTCTCGTCACATCACTGTACACCAACCGCTGATGTATTTTTTTTAAAGCGACCCAATGATGGAAACCAGGTGAGAGGGATATCCATCTAAATTCAGATTGAAGTGTGAAATGAAAAGCATCTGCCTAATGGCACGACCTCATGCAATATTAACATAAATACAATAGTGGTATGCTGCTACCTTTTATGAATACAGATCAGAGATCGACTAAATGTTTACTTACTGTCCAATTTTAAGTGAATCACGATAGTTGATCTGCATAGTTAGACCCACATCGAGATAGTTTTCACGAGTTACGTTCACGTAGTCATCGGCATTCACGTTTAAAAGCATTGTCACCCCATCTATGGTTCCTATGCAATTGTGATCGTTATTTTGGTCGTTCATAGTGATAAACTGAAAAAAAGATTACCACTGGTAATGACATCTTGTGAACTATTCAGAGTAATTTGATGGCATAAACCAAACTCCATATTCATTATCTTTTTGAAATGCACCGTTCCTAAACCGCCAACACAGCCCTCCGACAGTACTGCATTACGCCTTCTGAAAATTCAACACTCAATCGTTAGCGACGACATAATCTTGCAATTCGGAACCCAATGCAAACATAGGATGAAACTGAAACTGTCACTGGAATAGCAACTGAGACAACCTGAATTGATAAATAGTGTTAGCGCATTGATGACCAAAATTCATGAAAACTTCCAACGTAGTGATATTATTACGAATCCTCCAACTGCGAAATTCTTGTTCACCTTGTTTGCAATTATCGATGCATTCTGATAAAACAGCTGCCGGCATACTAAAACGGACTCGATTAATGTATCCCATTATTTGCTGAACTTGAACTGAAATGAAGTAATTCACGGTGACACTCTCAAGCGATTCATTCGAATTGCACAAACTTTTTGTATAAAAACGATATCATATCATCAGTCATATTGTATTCGAGTCGTTTCTTTTGACTTATTCGATCATAATTGCACAATGTGATTGTCGGAAATTTCTGAACACCTGAAAACGAGAAGAGTTTTAGAAGTTACTTCAGTGGATAAGACATATGACTTTTGTGAAGTTGTTTCACTGGATGCATGGCTTTTGCAAAATCATCAGCTTCCATGCAGTGATCCATTTTCAGTTAGTGTCAACAATGCATATGGTGAGTTTGAAGTGCTCAACAAACTGCATCAGTACTGTGGATTACGGCGAGCTGCAATAAGCCGTGGAAGGCACGAGTCAAGCCTTATTCCGCTATGAATTCACTATTAGAATGTGCTGTGGTCAATTCTAACAGATAGTTGTTCTGCAAGCAAAACGATCGTCTTAAAACAACAGTACTCACTGTCGACTGTGCATTCGGTCAGTTGAGGGTGCGATACATTGAATCGCGAAGAAATCTAAAAGGCAACATTTTCAAGTAGTGATCACATACATACGTACGTTCTTCACTATCTTCAAAGAGGCGTGTAGTCCACTTTTGACGTGCAAGTGTATCGAAAACAACGATCACTTGATTAATAGTTATTGACAAGAACAAAATCAATGTGCACGACCAGCCGAAACGACCCAAATTTGTCCTGGTTCGATGTAGATCTGCTACCCCGTGCGCTGTGGTACGTTGCATCCAGTCACTCAGCATTTGTGGCATTTTCATCTCTCTTGCCTCCGTTTCGGTAAATACCTGAATATCTGGCACATGCGTCTTGAACAGAGGGACAGCAGTTAAGCAAAAAAGTGCGAAATCACTCCGAACTGAAAGAGTGAATTCGAAATGAAAAGTACAAGTGAGGTTTCATAGGGACATAATTATACAGCAGCAGTGGATATCAGTGCTAATTTTGAACTATTTTAAATGTTGGCGGTGAAGTAGAAAACGCAATAGTGGACCGTTCAGAACTGCGAGCATCAGCATGTGATGAATCTAATTCACTGAATTTTACAACACGAAGTAAATTTTTTCGACGCATTTTGGTGTTGTACTCAAAAGCAGAGGTAAACAAACGGTCACGAAAATGGTTATGCTTTGGAGAGGCTCTTTGCTGCTTTTATGAAGTTCAATCAAAGAGTTACTTGCTTCAGTTCGCGGATATCTTTTTCGAATTCCTATCTAATGTTTGCATAATAATTCGATATCAACAGTGAAACTGAAACATTTTGTTGATCTCTTTGAAATATCCATCAAAAATGTTGACTGATACGATGGCGTAAAATTTCAAATCCGTGTTACTTAATCCTTTCGAAATATACATTCTCCAATTTCCCTGTTGTTCAAGTCACTCAAACAAGCCCCTTTTCATCATGTGCAATCCAACAGCGGTGATTTAATGTGTTCTGCAAAGCAGTTTCTAATGCTTAACTCTGGCGATAGCTTGTTCCAGGGATGTAATAAGCAAAACCATGACCTTATTGTGAGTCAAATTCATTCGACTGAATTGAATGAGCACCTTTAGAAAGTGTCATTATAACGGTCAAATGTTACGTAATACCAAAAATTAGCTTCCTAAACGAAAATGAGAGCAATTTTATTTGCACTTTTATTCCGAATAAAATATTTTGGATTGAAACAATGAAGGATTGATAGTGATGGCTCGGTCTTGACAATTAAAACAAAGGGAATACAATCGGACCACAAAGTTTAACAGTTGATTTTTAGTCGACATGCAACTGTTTATCACCATATACTTTCTTAACCACTTTCAACACTTCGGGAGCATTCGCTGAATCAGACCATTCCCTTTCGAGACGCGAGTACACCATTTTATCTTTATCGATCAAAAACACACCTGAAATGAAGTGTTTGAATGCTCAATTAAAAAATCGCTTATAAGAGTTCATCCTCTTCTGCGACAATTCTCCGCCATTACAGAACGAACCTTCATTCCATACCGCCAAATGTACGGATTAAAGTGAACATTTTCAACAAAAAAGCAAGAGACATTCGGAATTTCAGCTGATAATGAGCATAAAACTTCTCGTTTCAATTCAGTGTGCTCATGAATGCCAACAATGCACTCGCAGATGCAGTTCATTAGAACAACAGTTAGCTCTATGTCAGAAATGAATGCGATACAGAAAGCAGTAGATAAAACAAGCGATTGTGACCACCTCCAAGAAGTCGTCCTTCACCATCTAATAAAGGTCCCGCTTTGATGCCTCTAATCATTCCCAATAAAGCGTTTATATAAGTAAATGGTCTTAACGCTCCCATCCAAAATGGCATCCAACGTTCGTTTGGACCAAAAAATCGTTTCTGTAATATTGTTTTTTTTTGCGATATGTCATCAATAAGTCATTCAGAAAAATGCCTTACTATATGGTCGAATGATGAAAAACAATCAATTACACAAACACCTGAATTAAAAAAGCTCGATAGAAGCATGAGGATTCATCATATGAGCGAAAATTATTGAATTTGTTCGAGTGGAATGGATTAATGTGCGGAAGAATGCTGAGGCAGACTGAAAGCATATGGTCAACCTGTGGATCGATGTAGAGTTCACCGTTGAAATATGGCAAGAACTGCTCGACTGCATTGGTTTGATGAGTGACACCAATCAATCTAACGCCAGCTTTTTGTAGGTCTGGCATAATCTGGGTCATGTCTGACGCACCAACACGGCAAAACAAGCATCCTGGACGTCGAATAGTCATCACCAATGTTGGACCCTTGGCAAACAGTTCACTCGCCTAAATCAACGCAATCATCGAACGGATTATTCATTGCTGAGCTCAATTTCCCAATGCCTCTGCTCCCCACGGATGCAATTTCAACAACCTCCCCATTCACTTCCATTACATTACAGTGATCATCAAACTGATTTGTTATCAGTGAATCTATCGGAATACATCACTGATATCGAATTGATTCGTCGATATTCCCTCAGTTAGTTTAAAACGTGCAATTCGTTGATGAACGAATTGTTGCTGATCCGTTCGGTTAATTCATGCGCACGATATTGCAGTGAAACGAATACGTGCGATTGACACAGACTTCTTTCTTGCTGCCATATCACAAGCAATCATCGACTATTATCATGTGGTGCATTCACTGAACAATGCACCACTCGTCACACCTGGAAATCCTCTAAAACCACGAGGAGTAAAGTGTTTCTGAAACGAATTAACCTTAATCGGTGCTTCAAAGTTGTCTTCATTGATAACTTTACGAAGTTCTGTTTCACCTAGATACTCGACCGTTGGAACAACGTTGCCGAGGGTGAATCTCGTTGGCAGATTAGCGTACAACACAGTACCACCTAAAACAACTGCAGTACCATATTTGATCATATCCATACCGCTTTAAGGTTACGAAGTTCGTGTGTGATAAACCCTGAAATCAGAACCATTCTTTGCTTACTGCCAAATGATCAAAAAAAAAACCATTTATTTAAACAAATTGATCAAAAAAATCATATGTTGACAAATGACAACACATAAACAACTGTTACAGATCACAACGAGATGAGATGGATAACTGATTGCGAGCGGATGAAAGCTAGAATTTACAAACAATAAACGTCTTGCAAACTAATCAACATTGAATATAAATATTAAGTGGTAACTGCAATTCATCGAGCAAAAGTCGCTATAAAGTACAGAGCAAGCTTACTGAACGAGTTAAGTCGTAAGTAATCAGATAACAACAACGTTTGTTGTGAACACGCCAATGCTAACCATTCACAAGCAGAAGTTATTTGATGCAAAAAGCGGATCATTTACAAGAAAACATTAACGGATATGAATAGAAATATCCACCTGATTGAGTAACAAGTGATCAAGATAGAAAACATGAATACATTACGAAACAAAAATTTACTTGTAAACGATTAATGAACTGGAAGCTTATTAGTAAGTGAATAAAAACGAAATGAAATTGCACAGCTTCAAACAGCAACTTCAAAACAGCAACAGCTATGATTGGTATCATCGAGTACTAACACAGTAGATGAGCAAAATTAGCAATTATATTGGGCGATAGACTTGGTGTCTTGCTTCATATCTTATTATCTTCATATCTTACATACACCGTATGTTCGATTTTATTTAACAGAAATAAGAGAAATCTGGTTTGTGTACAATATGATCAAAATAAACTTCAAACTCGATCTCATCACGAGCTCAATTTAACATTCGAATCTAGAAAGTAGCACATAAATATTGTTGATGAAAAAATGAATTCTTAATTGAAAACTTCATCGAAAATTGCTGCGAATGAATAGAGATTGAGCACTGAAATATAATACAACGACATAAATCACATTTCACATTTATCGGTTTCTAACCATAATGAGACGGTACTGAATAACAATTGAAATTGGAATGAATGCTATACAGTACAATTCACGATCAGTTTCAACATTCAGCTTCAATTGAAACCATTTACTGTTCACCGTGACGCCAATGTTTATACAATGTGAACATTGAGCCTAACAGAGGTAATAATGTCGGAAGAAAGAGTGGCAAATAAATGGCAAATTTTTGATCATTTGGGAAATAGAGTAAAGCCAGTAGACTCTGATCGTTCACTGCTCTTTGTGCCAATTCGTGTCCCTTGACAACACTATCAATATCCAATTGACCTGTTTGTTCAGCCTTATTCAACGCATTTTCGATCAGTTCAACGGCACGATTCGCTGAATCTGCAACCTGAAAATAATATTCAAAAGTATCCGTCAAATAAACTTCGGTTACAAAAAAAGTTTAGAGCTGATGAAAGGAAAGGAACGGAAAGGCATACATTTAAAAACTCAATTGGAACGGTTAATTCAGCGGCAATGAGACAAACTTGGACGAGAGACAAACCGATTAGTGAAATTATGGAATTTCGACAAAAAAACTGAGCAATTTGAAAAAAGTGATTGCAAAAAGCATCCGAACAATCTGCTAACCTCATCATTAATGACGATATTATCAATTTGTGCAATAAGCATATGAATCGCACGAACTGATGACATTGCATTCATTGAGAAATCGACGAACGACCTCAGTTTCAATCGTCTCAACTCCCATTCAGAAACCGGTGATGGCTGTTTGCTAGCACCGTAAGGCAACTCTGAATCCAAACCAAGCAGAATCCGTAATGAAGCAATCAATGAACTGCTCACACTGGACGTCTCTCGACCGCAACACGACACAATCGCTCCCCATGACGCAACAACAACACCGTTGCTATCTTCACCCTGTGCATCTCACACCACACTATCACTTTCAACAATAACATGAAAGACTGCACAAAACAACTAAACATCAACTGAATGATATAATACGAATGACGAGCGAGAATAGAATAAATGATGGAAAGGAACCAACCGTTTGATCGAGCATAATAACGGGTTCATCGTAATCAATGATCAGTAACTTCAGTAACGGATACGATGATTCAACCGTACTCGTTTCGTGATCAGCCTAGAACATAGTGATGATACGGAGTGCAATTCGAAATGTTACATCGATCGTCTTCGTCAAATGTCAAACAAATTCCTGATGAATGAACCTCAAGCGAGAGTAACCTCAGTGATGATTGCCTGCATTTGATCCATCGCAAGTGTCCAACGTTCCTGTACATCCTTCCTCAACCATTTCGACACATCAAAATCCCACAAATGCTCAGAACTGATTCGCAAATTTGTGATACCGTTTAGTTTGGCGGCCAATCGGCGTATATCACGAACGATTTCCGACGGCTTCAACGCATCATTTGAACCAGTGCTTGAAGCGTGCGCAAATATCAACTGAACAATGTAGTCGGCACTTTGAGCGGCTGAGTCCCATATCAAGCGTTTCTGCAGTATGTGAAGTGAACTACTGGATTGTATAAACGAATCGGTCAATTAAGGTGAGCTATTCGACTGAACAGCAAAATACCTGTTGATTGGCTGGAAGTGTTGCCACTTCATGCGGATGCAGTCGTCGCTTCAATTCTCGATTGATAATCGCCGACAGGTGTGCATTATCGATGAGAATATCATTAATTATATTCAATATCACTTTTCTGTTGTCCGCTGCAGTGACTTTCACAAACGTCCATTTATCGTTGCTTAAATGCACTGATCTGCCTAGGAATGTCCATTCATTCTCAGGAACAAACACTATCGGAATAACAAACTGCTGATCACTTTCTGGAGACGACAGATCGTTCGGTGAATCCTGAAGATAAAAAAATACAAGATCAGGATGGTAAGTGTATTATAAGATGGTAAGCGATTAAATTTTATGTGAATTTCTTGAGTCTCTGAGATCAACATAAAGTGTATTCCTGTATTCAAATGATTGTCACTTGGAATTTCGCAAGCATTTATAAAATTCTATTTTCGCATGCAAATCGGCAGCACAGGCATTTCGAAAATGTCAAGTAAGCATAAAGACGAACAAATTCTGAAATTAATACCAGGATTCGGCGATGAATATTAAAGGTTAGGTTCAACGGATCAACTTGTGATAACGTTTGCAGTTCACTGGACAGGAAATCCGATATGGGTTCCAAGTAGGACTGCGAAGAGCAATTCCAACACGCTAAAACTATGTGAACCTGGAAAAAACGAATAGTCGGGTAGCTGTCAAAGAATTTTTGAAAAAGCCGATTTTTATCTCCTCAATAGCATTTTTACTTTGAACCGTGATCTTTCCTTGGTAGAACTTGCGGATATATGAGTCATTTACTGTTGAATGAAATGAAATTCACTGAAATCATAGTTTGAAATACTAACTGGAAGGATGATTTTTTGCTGAGGTTTAAAGTTACGGAAGGGAACACGATAGGTTGATGTGGTATGCCACCAAAGAGGTATACCAAAAACGATCATAACAACGATGAATGATAAGGCTGATAAATGGCGATAACGCTCTTCCTTTCGTTCATTTTCTGTTAACTTGAATACCTACAAAATAAATCCGCTCGTGTAAGCATCAGCAGTTTTCACAAGTGAATGAAACATAATCTTGCAGTGAAACGCATTTATTCAGTCTCACCCAAGATAATACCACTTTCCATTTTGCACCACTCCGATAAAATTTTAGTTGCAACTTGTGAATGATCCAACAAAATGAAACTATTTTAGAATGTGCGACAATTTGGGTGTCTTATAATGATATTTAGTTCTTGTCAGTAATGCTCTTAAAGTGTTTCCATTCAGATTAGATGAAAACGTTACAGACACCAAAATCGTTGCAGGAAAAACATGAATGAGAAGCAGAAATTCTCATTGACTGTAAACAGCAAAATGAAGAATGAAGTTTTACGGACCCTTTTCCTCCGTTCTTCAATACTTTCACAGGTTTCTTTGTGTGGCATTGTCTGCTGCACTGAATCACCAATATTACCATCAGTGTTAATGTTTTTTAACATGTTCATCAGTGAGCTGCTTTTCGTCGTCGAGTCGTGTTCCACTCAACCACTTCTTCAAAAGTTCCGCACTCGAGATATCCTGAAACTCGTTTATATTTATATTTAAGGTCAGAAATGCCTGATCAGCATAACAAAAAAATGTCAAAAAACTTCAATTTATATAAGCAGTAATAGTTTAACTACTTAAAATCAAATAGTCGAGCAATCAGGCAAAGGTTCAAAAACCTGAAAATTAAAAAAAANATCAATGAATTAATTCGCCCTGTTGGATCTCTTTTTCTCTGTGCTCTACCTGACCGCGTCGCTTCAAAAGTGCAATTTGGCTTCTGTTACCAACCCCAACAATTTGAGATACAATACGAACTAACCAATCGCATAAATTGAGAAAGGCTACTAACAATAAGCTTGAACCACCGAAAGTTGGGCAAGTTATTAAATCGTTCTAATGATGAGTACGTATTTCTAGCTATGCTCACGGGTTGCAGTCTGTTACGGGAATAATTTGGCAGAGTGTTTGTATTATCAATTTTCTTCGATTTCCTCGATTTTAATGGAATAAATGCGAAACGATGTGGTTTAAGCTAATGTAATGGGTATTTATTTGCTGAGAAGGACCCTTTAAAGGATGGACTTTTATTCGTTACGCCATTTGAGTCCAAAATTTTGCTGAGTGTGGAAACATTTGAGGGCGAATTTCGTTGAAAGTTTATCAGTGCTACGAATGAGCAGTGGTGTGGCGGCAGTACACGGCGAGAATTGTCGACAGCTGTATTATTTGGGTTGTTCGGAGAGTGCGGCACATGGCGAGGGTAGAATCGGATTTGCGGGTGGTGATAAAAGTGTTGAGAGGAGATCGAGTGATGAGAGACTGATTGATTTGGTGGAGAATGCGCAGTTGGAGGGTCACTTACCGATCAGGGCCGATGACAAGCTCTCTAAGCAAGTGATCGTCAACGTTTCCAAGCATGGTCTCAAGGTTGTGCTTTACGCAGATTCATTTTTTTCGTCTTTTTCATTTCAGACTTCATCGCAATAATGATCGAGAGGTGCACATTTGTGTCGAATTATCAATTTATTCTTTCATTTCAGGCATATCGAGTTGACTCATTCATTGTGAGTCAAATAAGCAAATGATTTAGTTCAAGAAAGCATTCCTTCCGAATATTGTGCATACATCACAAATTGTTTTTAGATAGTCGACTTATCCAACGGGAACGTCTTGGATCGCGTTGCTTTGTTGAGTATCATTCAGTGTGTGTCGTTCGATGACGGTTTCAATCACACCAATGTCGTGTTTCTTGTACAAAAGCCACTAAGCGCCTTAATGCAATGCTATCTGTTTCAGGCTCGTAATGCCAATGATGCTGACTATATTTGTAAACAACTCAAATCTGTTTTTAATGCAGTTGTTCGACAAGTTTGAACCTTTCACAAATCCTTCACTGTATTTTGATTCAAAAACAATTCCAATTTCTTGCAGTTTCATATAGAATTCGTCACTATTTTCTACCTCTCATGTGCACTGTGATATATCCATTCGTAAAAATCCTCATGTGCTTCTTAAATTCGAGAGTTGTGATATTTGGTGTATGCGAATCGTCATCATCATTCTCAATGAAATTGTAGTCTTGATGTTATCGAATCATTCTGTTGTATGATTATTTATGGCATTACAAAGAATAAATTGTGTTATGAAGATGTGTGAAGAATGATGTTCTTGTTATTGTTTTCACTTTCGCGTACTGTATAAGTGATCACTGAGGAAATATGCGAATTAGTTATCCGAATTAGCGCTAAATGACGACAATAAATGATTAAATCTTCTTCTGTCGTGTTTCAACAGAGCAAAAAATTCCATATTTCACGCCTTGCCCGAGTTTTACTGCATTTTTTTGAAAAGCCAATTTGTGGTGTGGTGAGCGAAATGAATTTCAATGCAATTCCTTTCGCATTCTTTTTGATCGCTCTTGGTTTTCGGTTGAAATTCTGAGATTATCGGAAAATTCGCCGCGAAATTGTCACATTCTTTCGAATTGGCAGATATGAATGAAAGAAATGGTGTAGTTTTTTGATGAGAAGAACGCCGTATGAGCGATATGGAGTATGTCCTGATTACGTGATAAAACGCCCTGATTAGATAGATGACCCTATGATGTTGAGAAGTGTGCGTGACATTTCAATTAACAAAATTCGAGAAGTGAACATGAATGAATGAAATAATAGTGAATTGGAAATATGATTGAGTGTTTTGCAAAAATAATTAATGAAACCAATCAATTGTGGGTGCTGATGAAGAGGGGAATGAAAGACAATAGCAATAACACTCGAAACAACAGATGTTCTTATTTTTGGTATTTTATTTCGTTATGTTTTTTGTTGATCATTTAAAAAATCATTTATCCATTCACATTACCTAATTTTTCATTTTTGTTCGGATATTTGGGTATTTAGGCCGAACGATCTGCAATGGGTTGGTGGATGGTCGGTACAGGTGTGCGCGATATATTTTTAGCAAGTCAACATTATCTTATTCATTTCATTATTTCAATTGAATTCAAGTATCGTTTCGCTGCGATAATTCCGTTTTATGTTAACGTTCGAAACTTGAGTAAGTTTGTGTGATCGTGAGACATCTGAAGCGTCCTTTGTTTCATTTCATTTCATCAACGGTTACGAGTAAATAAGATTGTTATGATTGCTGTTGGCTGTTCCGAAGNTCTCCATCTTGCGCAATGCGAGAATGCATCAAAAGTTCTTTTTTTTGGATTTATGATGGGATAAGAGTCTTTACAATAAGAAGAACTCATAATCTTCACAATATGAAGAACTCATTCAGTCATAGTTAACGGCCATACTGATGAAGTACGAGCAATGTCCACCTATCTCTCAACTTTTGTAATGTGCTTGCTGCATGACTAAATATAACATTTACTGAATTCCATCAGACGAATTCAAGTGAGCACAGCGGATAAGGAGAATTATCGTGAGTACTTGAGAATGCAATCTTATGGAATACGATTTGAAGGTGCTGCCGAATGGTCAACCAGTTCTGGGATGTGCAAGACCGACGTGTTTTGGATGGGACCAAGATGGCAAACCATTCAGTCAAAACGCTCAATTTTTTAGCATCAACAAGAATGTTGATGGTTTCATGAGGAAATCGTTCGATAATGACAAAAAACTGCAGCATGTCACTGATGAGAGACATACATTCGTGCCTCAAATTGCGGTCCGTTTCTTTTGTTGTCATTTTTTCGATCTTACATTTGCACATCATCGGAATTGCTTTTAATTAGAAATCATGTCGACATCGAATTGGAGCCATACCACGAAAATTTGATTGTGTTCTGGAGAATAGGAGCCAAAGTTTTCATACCTTCTCAATAGACATAACATGAACTGAACTGAACAATGATCATGACAAAAGTTTTTCAGCAATGTGAACCAAGTTATGAGAGTACTTCGTGTTCTCGTGTTGATCAATGGGTTGGCGGGATTGCACCTGTGACAAACAATGAAAATGAACCGTGAGTGGAAAATTTGGAATTTCAATTTTTGATGACAATTGTTTTGGATAGTATCCTTTTAATATTTATGTACCACTCAGCCGATTTCGAGCAATCAATAAGAGGAATGGTAAGTAAATTAGGGAAGTAGAGTGGGATTTATGTTGAGATTGTGATATGATATAAGTAGACGTTGCATAAATATGTTGCAGACTGATGTTGCAATGTTGTTCATACGATGTTCTGAAATCTTCGAGTGATCGTGGTATTGCCGTGGTGCATGCGGGTGAGATCGTGATTGGTGGTGAGGTAATGAAGAACGACAGGCAATACGCTTTCGATTATATTGCTAATGTGAAGCGCATGAAAGGTGCCGGTGAAAGGTTATTCCCATACATTTCCTTTTGAGGTGATAGGAAATACAGCCAATACGTTGACGTTATTTCAGTGCTGTTTACGATGTGACCGTACGACGATTCCCATGTGTTCCTACACCAGGCGAACAGTTCTTAGACGGTAATGAAAAATGACTTCTGCTAATTGATGTTGTTTCACTTGAGTCATCATTGCTTTTTGTGACTATCAGTGCATAAGAAACGCCGAACTGATTAACTGCAAAAAGAATCAGCTGCAATCATTATCATGTTCTCACACATCAGCAATTTAAACAGTCGATCAAGGTACATAGATTGACGAACGTTGGTAATCACTCGCTCTGGCAATAAAAGTTGAACTGGGAAACACGTTCAAAGCTGCTTTATAGTTTGAAAATCAAAATTTCAGTGGAAAATTCAGTAGTTGATGAGGTGGAGAAACGTTTTTCGTGGTCGGATAAACTTCAGACAACAAAGCAGAACAGAGGAAGTGCGATTGCTTTTCAGGTTCTCTTCTTCCCACATTAACTTCTTATTGAGTTTAGTATCATCTCACAACACCGATTCGGAGTAATCGAAGGAGAAGAAAAAATTGTTTCGACCAAAATACACAGTGAAGCACAATTCCGCGCAGTTTTATTTTCTGCTTCATTAATCCTCAGTCAAGAAATCGAAGTGATGAATAAACATGATGCAGGTATTATAAATTCACATTTCCTCATGAGCTGAACTGCAATGAATGAATAAATTAAGGCTCCTCTCACTGGAATGATGGAGCGGATCGCCGTTCAACCCGCTCAAACCGTTGAAGTCGTACCACGTCGGTGTTTTTTTCAAGTTGCATTTTCATACGCTTGTCAGTAATTTCAAGAAATATTGGTGGATATGAGTACATTTTAATGAGTCCTTAACAATTATCTCCAAAAAAATTTTGCAATAACAGCTACGAATTCTTTCAAACAATTGTTTATGAACAATTCTGTTGGATTTCAGAGCAAGCAGTCCAGACAATCGCAGTTCAACGAGTGAGTTGCTCTGGCTTCGTTAATGAAATGACTGAGCGATCTTTTCAGTTGCTGACATAAAGTTTTCGAAATTTCTATCAATTCAGTTGATCACTAATCGTAATGCATGCATGCTAAGTTCGTTATAAGTCGCATGCTGATTTCAGTTCCAAGCCATTCCTGTTAAGCAAGAACCCGTTCACCCAGTAACAAAACCCCCGCCACCACCAGCCAACGATGGGCGTTTGTTTTCAATTTCTTCGTTAAATCTTCGTCTTGCACACTTTCATTACCACAAAAAATTCCAAAATTAATAAAGAAGGATAAATATATTAGGGAGGATCTCAAGTAATGACTGCAATTAGTTCCCGTTTTTACGCTGGCATTTTGTTTTTGCGCTAACGTCAAGCACTTTGTTGTGAAGCAGATTTTTACCCATTGATAACATTCATGTGAATAATTGTGAGACTTGAATGCTGTGAAAATGCGTCGTCATTCAGAAAATGATGAAATTATCCGATTCAGATGGTTCTTAAACGAAGATCCACTTATTTCAGCGAAGATATTGTTGTGTTTCGCTGGTGATAGCCAAGTACAAATGTCGAATGGTGAAATGAGAAGAATGGATGATTTGAAAGTGGACGACTGGATTTTGAGTGAAGATGACGACGGAAATGTAATCTTTCTTGTCAACTTTCAATTCAAACAAACTTCTCATTCAAACATGAGAACAAAAATGTTAGCTGACAGAATAATCTGAAATGTTTTGTTTTAGCTAGCATAAGAGCTCGAACTATAAGAATGTAAATGCATAATAATGCGATGTGATGAATTTGAAGGTATTATAGTTCAGTGCGAAAATGCGGACTGTTCATTGAACCACGTATGAGTGTAGATTTGGATTATAGGTTCATTAGGTAGGCGTGAACTGGTTGGTGTTTGATTTCAGACTGAATACGTTCGTGTGAAATCTTGGATGCATCGTTTACCTCAGCAGACAGCTGAATTCTTGAAGATCAATTTGGAAAATGGAAAGTCGATCAAGCTCACTCCTAGTCATTTCATCTTCAGAACGAAATGCTCTGGTGAGAAAATTTTTAGTTGAAGAGACCAAAATCTTACTTACTGTGGGTCGGTGATCAATTTGTAATTCATAAAATTTGTTGTACGTTTGAGGAGAAGACAGTTACGTTATGCCTGGAGAGATGGATAAGAAAGCAGTATGGGCTGAGAAGGTTCAACCTGGTGAATGCCTCTATTCACTAGATACGGTTAGATTTGAATTTATTCCTGGATCATCTGAGCGATGCAAATTTATGGTCAACATTGGTTCCGTCTCGTTCGTGTACCAATTCCCTGCTACGATCAGTTTCTCTCTGGGACGGGATCTCTTCCAAACTGACATGTCTTCACGACGTGAGTTTAAAGATGGTGAATATTTTGAATTATGCACGAATTTGGATTCAGGTAGCGAACAGGTTTATTGAAACGAAAGTACTCTCAATAGATCGTGTGAATGAAGTGGGAATATATGCACCATTAACTGAGAACGGTAAGATCGTTGTGAACGGTGTACTCGCGTCGTGTTATGTTGTTGTTGAGAGTCAGTCACTGCAACGATACTATTTCCAAGTGAATACTACTCATTTCTTTATTCACTCCGCTTGAATCTTTCTTCAGTTCAACTACCCCTCTGCTCAAGACATTCTTCCTTGTCGGATGCTCTTGGGTACTTAAACTGATTCAGGAATTTCATTGATCAATGATGTCAAAATGTCATTTTAAGAAAGAAAGAAGGTATGCATTCAGTTCAGAATCGATTCAATTTTGATTTTGATGAAGGACTGAATTCTGGTAGATATTTATTTGACCAAATATCCATGACAGAGAAATGTTTTGCAGTTGATGGAGACGTGGGCGTCGTTAGCACGAACGCTTTTCGGACAGTCAATAGCTGAACTATTATTTGGACCGCTACAAGGCACAGAGGTAACGAACAATGAGTTATTAAATTAGGCACAGTAGATCATTTCAAAGCAATTCATCGAAGAAGTGACGCTCAATTGCAGAAGTGGTACTACTAGCATTGATGTGTTTGTTGTGAAAAGTTTAGTGGAATGAATAAGAATTTGAAGCGAGAGGAATATATTAAAGAATAGTTGATGAATGAAAGATGAGTTTCAGAAAGATATTCCGTTCGCTGTTGATGTAGCTATGGACTTAATGGAGCTAGCGCTGCCGAAAAATGCTCGTCCTCTGTGAACAGTTTCAAATGCGAATCTATTGATGGCATAACCATATTATTCTCACATGCTGCACGCACTTATTCTAAATATGAAAAATGTATCGAAATTCCGATAGTTTACTCTGGGTTCGAGCAGTGTGCACAAATCAGAGCTAGTTTATAGAAATCTTGTTTACGTTTATCATTGTCATACCTGATGTCATCTTAGAGTTTATCCGTCGGAAATTAAGTCAAACTGAAGTTCATTCGTTGATTGGTCTTCGAATGAAGAGATTATCCTTCACAAGAAACTAAAGCGGTGTGAATTTCTGAGGATGTAGTGTTTTGATGAGATGAGATCAAGCGAACTGAGATCAGATAGAATGGATATCGAATGACGATCAAAAATATCGTCGGTTTTTCGTTCGAAACATTGGACGAGTGTTACGAATCATGAGAGTGCCCATGAGAATGTGCTAATAAATAAAAATCTTTTTATATTATTATTATTGCCAAAGACTTTGATGGTCGGTAATTTGTTGCATTGTTAATACGATATGCCATGAATTAATGAATCAGTTAGTTGTTTTATAATAAATGTTTTAAGAATCTATCGTTGAATGCACGCAACACGTGCGATAANACAGAACAGAAATGAGTTTTAACAAAAACGAGTAATGTACGCAAAAAAGCATTTTACATTCATCAGAACATGTGTGGTTCTCTTTGGACAAGAATAGTCAAGATCGAAACAATAGAACAAGATAATAAACGACTCCGCCATGGGAATCCAGTGATCGCCGTCTTCACGTGATCCCTATGCTCATATTCGAGCATCTTGACGAGATTTATTTGGACCATTCTGCCTGGTACAAGAAAATAGTATTATAAGAAAGTACGCAAGTGCTGTTTGAGAAACGCCTGATTCCGAAGAAGTAGAGCTGTTCAGCTGGATAATTTCAAACAAATGGTTACTTTTGCACATGCCAGTTCTGTAGTGTAATATGCATGTAACACAGAATGCAACATCTCTCTCTCTCTCTCGAAAAACATCTGATCTAATGATCTGAACTAATGGGGATAAGCTCATTTCATTGAGCTGATTCTTAACGAATTCGCGAACTCATTAACGGAACGTTGAATGAGTAGTCAGTGAGATTCCTTTACTGGATGATCGAATGATGGATTTTGGTTTGATGGGTAAACCATGTGAATTAATCGAGAGTGATGGGTGAAGTGCAGATTTCAGTGAGAGCTTTATTCTTTGCTGTTTCGCAGCTTTGGTTGGAAAAAATGCCTTTTAATCAACGGATAAGAACAGCTGCTTGTTGTCAATTGAGAAGTGTTATCAATTTGGTTTTTTTGACGACCTGCAAGATGTACATGTTATAAGTTTATTTGTTCATTTGCAAAATGCGATTTTCGTGCCAATTCCTTTCTTTCAGCTAATGAAGCTTGAAGTGTAATTTTAAATAAAGTGAAGTCTAATTCGCTCGAAGGTTTACACTTCTCATACATCCTTATATGCCTTGGTGATACGCCTGCCGATCATGAACGTCTGTTGATTGATGATCGCGATGGGTCTGTTTGGATTCGGTCAGATGAACACTAAGCAGATAAAAAACCTTACTCGATAAGATATATGNGGATGGATATAATAGTCAGCATACGTTTGTCAGATGGAATCCATTATTCAGTGAAAGTGAAAGGCAACAAAAATGAATACTTACACTAAAAAAGAGTGAGCGCTCCAACAAATAAATATAAGCAGTCAAATTCAATTTCAGTCATTCGTAAACTTTTAGACTGTTCGTTTCGAACATTGCGAATTTATTTCACTAATAGGTTCAGCCGTCTGATAGAAGTCTGCTAAACGGAAATCTCTATTTAAGCTGTAACAGCTCATTGGAAGCCTCACCTTGGGGTCGTTGCGCTTTCATCCCATAACACAAGTTTATATGCACAATTCTGCGTTCTTGTTGCGTTTTTTACACCTTTTTACAACCTTGTTTTTTGATTGTTTTTTTGGAGTCTTGTTCGTCGCATTTATGCGTCGTTGTCTTTCAAATATCATTTATTGCAGAATTTTGCGCAATGACGTCGTTTCCAGTTGACCCGAAGAGGTTTCCCATCCAGATCCGTAAGTTTCCTTGAGATTATACAAGTACACCTTACCTTACCTCGATAATTGGTTCTAGAAGAGGCGACTAGAGTCGAAAAACGATTTGGAGGCCTCATCTTGTGGTTGTCGGAAAACGACTCTAGTCCAATTTATTTGTCTCCGAATTCACTTATTACTAGGCTGAACCACAAAGAACCATTCCCTGTTCAGTATTTTATTTATAAATGCATTTTTAATAATACACGAGTAATGATAATCTATTTTAAGCCTACAAACAAATGAACTTTATTTTTCAATGCAGTACAGAAAAATATAGCAAATTGTAGTAGAGCACAAAACGACGTGTAATCGAAAACGAATTGCCTCGAAATGGCCTAACCTGCGGTATACTTATACATAGAACTGTGCTCATCTTCATTTCCGCTGCATAAATCTGCGCACTCGTCTGGCCATCTTAAAAACGATTCCTGTACTAATGTAAACAGAGAATGCATTTTGGTTCACCCCGAAGTTTCAATGAGTTTGAAACTCACAACCGAACTCATGAGCGAAATGTTGTGATCTTTGTGAAGTTCAGCACCTCGCCCCAGAACAGACTCTGTATGCTCTGAGGAACTCTCAAGCAGTGTTCCCGAGCAACGAAGGTTTTCGATAACCGATATGCTCACACGGCGTACTTCAATAACCGATATGCTCGCACGGCGTCGTACTTCAATAACCGAGGCATTCAACCGTTACAAAGGATTCACGACAAGTGGAGGTAATTCATCATTCATGGATGCTTGAATAGCTGATAAAAATGATGCACAAATAAAAGTCTGTGTTGATCAAACTCGACCGTTTTCCCTGTAAAACATAATTTTGTGTATGCGCATCAATTTCAGATGGTTTCCAAAAGGAAGACTGTTCCAAACTAAATGTTCCGCACAAGGAATCCGCAGACTGATTGTTCGATTGAATGTGAATCAAAACAGTTGCCTTTCGCCTCAAATATTCATTGAGCATAAATTTTCCGCATGAAGCACCGCAATAGCGAACTCGTCAACATTGTTACAGTCGTATTCATAAATATTTTTAACGAATTCGATTTGCTCATGTCGATGTCCGTTAAGCACAAATCGTAAAATTGTATTCTTACGTTACACTTATTATCATCGGTAGTTATTCTTGTTACTTATTACTTATTATCAGTGTTATTATTAGGTCTTGTTGGCCGAAAACATTCGTTTGATGTGCTGCTCGTTGTACAAAGTGTACTTTAAAATTGGTCGTGAACGAATGAGTTCCATTGAAAAATTCACAGTCGGACTATCGCCGATTATAATGTTGAAAAATTAGGGATATAAATCATAAATTTTTTCGCTGAAATTCTCATTGTATCCCATCAGCATGCAACAGCAAAGAAATATTCTCGCATTCCAAAAATAAAAGAAATCAGTTTCAAGAGTTCTTGAATAATTCTTTTTTTAATCTTTTTTTTGCGGCAGTAAATCGATTGACTGAACACAACCAGATAAACGAGTGCACGATCAAAAAGCAACAAAACATCGAGTTGATTTTCACTGATATGTCAGCACTATCGCATTTATTAAACTGTAAACAAGCGTCAGGTGTGCACTGCATCGAAACAATGCAAATAACATCCATTCGACTCTTTAGAGTCACTTAAGAGGACTACANCATCCATCCATTTCGCAATCGGCTATAATTTCAGTGGTAAACATCTGCCGAACTCTGTCTATCTCGTATCACGAGTTCAATTGCGTAAACATTTCCAGTGTCAACAATTATGAACGTGCAGAAGCGATCCCCGTAAAATTTTTGCGATTCATCAAAAAACGATAATAATTTGAGCTGCACGTAATCACAGCACAAAAAACACTTTCATCATATGAATTGTTCAGCCCATCATCAAAAAAACATAAATAGCAATATTTAAACGCATAAACTTCATTTGTTTACGACAGCAGCGATATCACGTGCCGTTCTTTCATATTTCATCATTAAGCCATCGTTTTGTTGAATTTATCTTTTGAAAATATAACGTCTTTTTTATGAGACCTGTCCCATAGTTTCGATCGACCGTGAACGCAGTGTCATAAGTCATAAAAGCGATCAGTTCGACAGTGAAGGTCACCAGTAGCAACTGTGCTTCCTGAGGCCTTACATTTTCTATTCCATTCATGGTGCTTCGCGTTCAAGAGCTAATTCTGCAATAGTCCTTCATGAGGATCTTCTATTATACCAGTGGTTCTCATAGGGGGGTGTAGTTACCCATTTTGGGTAATTAGGAGGTGTCAAGAGGTCGGGAAATCAGTTCGGATGTGTAAATGCGGTTGGCTGATGGCAACACTCCTCATTCGCCGATTTTCTAAGTATTATTTGCTCGTTTCGGCCTAGTAGGGTTTTAATTCGTTTTAACAGGGTTTTCGTTCTTTTCCTCGCTGTTACAATCGCTCTCATAGCTTTTATCATCAACGGTGTTCTCTTTTGATAATTTCTCATTGATTTCACTCAACAATTAAAGTCAAGTTCTCATTCTATGAAATACACTCTATAGTTGATCATTGGATTGTCGAATGTTGTTGAGCAATAATGTTCGACAGCTGTATTGTTGATTTCGGCTGTCAATATTCGTCAATGTATCCAGCAAATAGTATATGCTACAGAGTAAGAAACTGCTTCGAACTGTGAAGTGAAATGAGACGAAGTGAATCAGAAAAATTCATCAAGAGAACGATATTCGCATAAAATAGCTATGAGAGTGAATACAACACNTCTGAAAAGAATGAGAATTCATCTGAATAAGTTTGAGGTGAGCGTGTCAGAGGGAATAGCTTTTCAAGCAATCATGATCGATTCCAACACTGAGCAACGCAACGGTTTAAGACAGTGGTTCTCATGGGGAGTCAACTTACCCGTTTTGGGCAATATGGGAATAACGGCGGCCTGCCAGTTCAACAAACGGGGTAATGGAGCACCCGAACGTGAGAACCACTGTATTATACAATCCAATGACTTGTTAATAAGGAAACAAGCAATCGGTCCGAATTTTCAAACTCCGTTCTACTGAATTAAAAAAACGCGCTAAATGGAAAACTTCATTCAGTTGGTTTGACAACATTTTTGATGATGGTGAAATGTCGAGAATTCGTACAAACTTGATGTAACATGGTCAGGCAGGAATATTGCTATTCCAGAAGGTTTGATTGGGGCTGTTCTGGCCACTATAATCGATCCTGTGCTTGTTTCCTCTTCATGAGAAAAAAGTAACTCACAATCAGTACATGCGTTCCGCGCTAGCCTCATGCAAGCACGCAGAGTATAATCTCGAGATCAAACGATAATTTTTGTGAAGCGTTCGCTTACGTTTACTGATCGATCTAACATATCCTCTGTATTGTTCCAGAAACTAACGAAATGACAACGAATGTTGAACTGATTGTGAGATCTAAACCAATATCTGTTCGTAAGTTTTTGAATTTGAATTACATTGAACAGCTGAATTCAATTCAACAATTCATTTCAAGTGCAAAATGAACCCAAAAAAGTAAACTTCACTCTTGAAAGAGCCTGATTTCGTGCTTGTTGGAAACGAACACTTTTTGTTTTCTGTTGAATATCGGTAGTTTGATGCACGTGAATGAGTTTGTAGCTGTGTGGAAGGAGTTTGGAACGTCTGAAAACTTCTTCCGTAAATTTTCTATAAATTGCCAATGATTTCAGCGCCCCGAACACGGAAAGAGTCAGCAGATTCCGAGAAACTGTCCTCATCTTCGCCATCGAGCGCTCCTCAACAACGCCAGCGAAAAATTTCACTCTCTGATGTGATCCATCGACGCGCGTCGCTCTCTGAAGCTTTCAAACAGTACGCTGACCAAGGTATAATACTCCTGTTCAGTTGCATGCGGTCGAACCAGCCATTCACCGTTTCCGAATCAGTGATTAATGCATTTCTTCTTATTGGCTCTGTTTCACTGAGAACAATCGTTTTTGATTGAATCTCGTACTGTGGCTCGAGAAAACTTCAGTCGCTTCATGAATTCTTGATTTTGTGACATTCTAGTCTGGAGTTCACTCTTTTTCAGATCCATTTCACGGACTGGTATGTGCTCGATCACCTGAATCGTAATGCATCCTGCTGGGTCAGTCCTATCGACAAATCGGATCAGCCTTATGGCTTTTTTGGATTCTGGTTGACTTCAGTTGCTCAGTTCTTCTCCACTGATCTTTCACGACTTGATTAATTTGAATTGAGCGCAATGTACATAATGGTATGCATACTTTACTGTCCTCTATCATATTACGTCGTAATCATTCGTTCGGTTTTATTCACTGTTTCTTGTTGCTGTGCTCTAATATTTCCACGAAGGTTGATTATAATGCCTAATTTTAAGAATACTTCTTGTTTGCTGATTCCTGCAATATACCTTTTTAGAGGGTAACATCATGAAAAAACAGGAATCTCTTTGTACTTATATTTTGATTGTTTCCCATCGCAACTTATCGATAAGAGAGATTTATTGAGTTGATTCATTGGTGTTATTATCATCTGCTTACAATTCAATTTCGTGATGTATTTTGATAAGTAATCGTTTGTTTTGTTGATAAAAACTATTGGTGAACTTTATACGTTTGTACGAATTGTGAATAAAATCTCATTCGTTCTAAGGGGAAACTCTTTTTCATCTCGTTGATGCTTTTCAAAGGATTATGCACGACAACTGGGGGTTCGGGAAAGCGTGTCATAGATTTGATGCTTAAAAGGACGAGAACAAAGATGATTGTTCTACGGAACCGTCGTCAGATAATTTCATCTCGTTAATGCTTTCTGCCGATGGCTTCCAGAAACTATCGGTAGTCCAAATGAGCAAATAACCATCGAATTGAGTCAAACAAACTGTGAGCTAAAGCAAAAGAAATGCTGCGCATGCAAATCACCCTTAAACATTGCACAATTCCGCATGAATTCCACACAGAGTTTCATTCCCTCGTACACATGATAACTTTGCCGCTAGTGCTAGTTTCATATGATGCAATAAGCACAAACAAGTACTTTACTTTTTGAATTGATAAAGAAATGTTTGCTGCATTTGAACTTGTTTATCACATTTTTGATATATCTGTTTACCAACTTGTTCGCATCAATGATCATTCAATATTTCCACTCACTCTTAAAAAGTAATGCAAACTGACGAAAGAACGATGATTCTGCAATGAAAACTCGACAGTTTCAATGAATAACAGATGAAAAATATGTCAGGTAGGCAATCAGATGATCTCGTGCACTATGCTTCGTGTAATCGAAACGAATCTTCTTGAAAAGTTTATTTCACTATTGAACAGAATTCTTAACGAACAGAAAAATAACACAATCTAAAAACTAAGTGTCACGAAACACCGAACGAAGCATTCACGCTCGTTATTTACTTTATCCTCTCGGATCAGTCAAGCATTTTCAATAATATGAAATATTTGTCTCTTTTTCAAATGTGACCAATGATCAGAATACCAAATCCGTTCAAAATTCGGGACTTGCATGAAGTGATCATGAATATAGTAGACTTCTAAGCAGCATACAATTAGTCAGTTTGCGAGGGCTAAAAAGTACTTGCGTCGGTTGTCAAAAAAACGTTTGTCGGTTGTCAAAAAAACGGACATCTGATCCTGAATACATGAGGAGGCCTGGCCAGGCACGAGATTGGTTACCGCATTCAGGTCACGCCTATCGAAATCCCTTATTTGTTGTTAGCCAATTCAGTCAATTGACGACTTCGTTCTTGTTGACTTGTATCCATCCATCAACGATCAACGTGCGAACATAACTGATGTCTTGGACAGAGAGCGAGCGATTCAAATACAATGCATTAGCATAGAGAGTGCTAGGTAACAAGCAAAAAATAGGAATGAAACGGTGGTCATATGTGGATGAAAGGCATGATGAATGGATGTTCAGTCATATGATGTGATATAAACAACACAATATGAACACATGAGAATATCCGACAATAACATCCAATAATAACAACAGTATTTCGTTAGTGTTTGTTGATGCTAACCAAAACTAGAAGCAAATAAATAGAGCTAACTCAGCTATGTGTATTCAGTTGTTTAATCGTTCGCGTTTTCAGGCGTCGTCGCTCTGTTCAGATGCACTTTCCATCCATGCACTTATATTTATCACATTCGTAGAAGGAAGCGCTTGTCAGAGTCTGGATTTGCTTGTTGTTTTAGGATTGTGTTCATTATGTCCATGTTGCTGGTGTTGTTGAAATTAAATTCATAACTATCCAGCAGTCCTATTACGAAATCAGCACAGATCATCAGTGCGGTTTTCGCATCCTTTTATTTTTTTTTCAGCAGCGTATGACTTAAACTCTCGCAATAATCACTATTAGTTAGCACACAGAAGCTGTTCACTTGTGAATATGGATCTTGCAATGCCTGTTAGATTATGTAAAGCAATACTTGTAATGATCGCATTATGTAGCGCAGTGATCTTGATTTATAGCTTTATTATCAAAGAAATGTTTCATTTTTCTTGCAGAACATTCAATCATGACATCATTTCCAGTTGACCCAAAAAGATTCCCGATTCAGATTCGTGAGTCATTCTTTCACTATTCAAAGCAACACCTTATAATGCTCACTCGAAGAAACAATAGCTTTACCTTCATGAAAGCTGGCATTAAGCAAAAACTCATAAGATCTAAAATCGCTCAATGCTCTCATCATAACCAAACTCGTATCGTTTTAAGCACCTCGACAACGCAGTGATTCGACTGATTCAGAGAACCTTTCAACATCTCTTCCCGAGCAACGCGAACGAAAATTCTCAATAACCGAAATGCTCGGAAGACGTACTTCAGTTTCAGAAGCGTACAAACGTTATGCAGGATTCACAACCAATGGAGGTATTCATTGCACTGAAGACAATAATTGCTGCACACTGCTTTCACTTTCTCAACTCATAATAACATTGAACAAAAAGAATTGATTTGGTGGCGTAATTGCATCGGTTTTCACCGAAATTCTTGTAAATCAAACGATATAATGTTTGCGCTTATTTCAGATGGATTCCATCGAAAAGACTATTTCAAACCTGCTAATCCTTGAAAGGTACTTTTGCACGTGATATATTTTGTTAACCCCAATAGCTCCATTTTCGCACGATCGTTTCAGATTCCACTGCTGAACAATTTTTCGAATGTAGCACTGATCATGAGCTTTCATCCGAATTTACGAATTACGAACATTGTTCACTCTTAAAATCCCATTGCTCACTGCTTTCTGGTAATTAAATGATTCATTTCACAATCAGTTTTTGACAGATATCAACGCAAGATGTTATTGTTGCAACGAGCGAAAGGGTGTTTTCAATATTGGATTTCAGTTTTACAATGTTGTATTGCCTTTCAGCCATTTTACATTGTATGTATATGGAGTCCATTTGATGCAGCCTTAATCTGATGTACTAAAAAGATCATATATAGAGCGTTTGGAATATATCATAACGCTATAAACATAATGCACTTACGTTATTCGGTTTGTACTGGTTCATTTACATTACCTGTCATGTGTTGTTGTTTTGAAGTATTGAAACATGCTTATAAGATGGCTATTGCTAATTTCAAAAACGAATAATGAAACAGTCAGCATTCGGTGTGTACATATTTGTCGTCAAAAGAATAACATTCCAGCGAAAAGTAGAGTGATTTCTTCTAATTAATATCGGTTTGAATAGAAATTGAATGTTTTCTCGATCCAAGTATTTCAGCGAGCTTGTTTCGCTACTTCCATATGTAATAATGTATACAGCTTGATCAGTTGTTGTGTGGTTTATACCAATAACGATGCATGTATCAGAGACGTGTATAAATTGTAAATAGAAAGTTCATTGAGAGCATATCAGGTGTGCTTCATTGGACCATCACATTCTTACTCTACAACTGCTACGAGCACTATTGTTCAATGATATAATACGATGCTCCTAGCAAAATGCGAGTAATCATTTATAGTTCACCGTCAACGTGTATAATCGTGTTTATGATGTTTCCCTATGTTGTAACCGAACTGATCCGCTTGAGAAAATATAATTTTTTATGATTCGGAAACGTGATTTTCAAACAGAATTGAAATTTGAAAATAAATCATGATAAAGAAACAATGGTGGCAACACATTACATAGATCATCTTGAGAGAACAATGAAAACAATGCTAATTGTAAGGATCATGAATGATCAATATCAGATCAACTAAATGATGGCTGCCGATGGCGATTCCACTCAATAATTGACACTAAATATGATTGTTGCAAACTTCTCCAATCTTTTCTTGTAGTATTCTTATAGAGTTTGAGAAAACGTTTTCCTTTGCAGTAAAATAAGAACACTGCGAATGAATGATATGTTGTTAGTTTGAAAACATTCAATGCCAATTAAT